TTTGATATAGATTTAGTTTGTGATCTTGTAGATAATTGTGATGATAACTCAGATGAAATGAACTGTGGTAAGTAGTATATTGATGATTGAATAGTCATTTTTTGATATAGATTTAGTTTGTGATCTTGTAGATACTTGTGGTGATAACTCAGATGAATGAGCAGTGTTAAGTAGATATCATTAGAAGAACTCTTCCACTTATAGTAATAAAGTTACAGTTTTCTTGTTTAAAATAACAGAATGGAAGCTGAAATCATTTATAAATAAAATAATAATGATGTTTATACAAGGCCTTACCCATTTACTAATATTTATTGTTGTATATAATTACAGATGATTATATACAATGTGATTTTGAGAATGATTTATGTGCTTGGACGCAGGCCTCGATTACAGATAACATGAACTGGTTGCGCATATCTGGACCAACGCCATACAATTACTACTCTGGTCCTCCCTATGATCACACATACTCCAATACTACAGGTAAGATCACGCTTGAATATGCTCTAGAAAGACCTTTCAATTTAGGTTTACAAATTACATTGTGCATTCATTCTTTTTCTCCAATGTAAGCCATTGGGTGATAATTTGTATGTTTACAACCAGGTAACCCACACTGACAACGTTCTTAATCTTTCTATAAAGCAACAAAATTTCTATTTTGTTATTATGAGAGTATATTGTTGTAATGACGTTTTTTTCTTTAAATGGAGTACAATTAACAAGGTTTCAGAAATACGAGCATTTCATGTATGCTAATAAAGGACACCATACTGCTTATTATTACGTAATGTCAGGGCTTGAATATTGGCTAATATGTAAATGTAACATGTAAATAGGCGAGACGGAAATCATTTGCCCCATGCCTATACTTCCCATGTTATTGCTCAATGGGCAGTGCTTCTTCCTTTATTAACACGTGCCTGTCGAACACAATACATCCTAAGCTATACTCGACCACGTAATTTGCGATTCCGACTTTCAACACCGCGTGTGTTCATATACGCGGAGCGAGACGCCGGCCTCAGTTTGGACCTCATAACATTCGTGTCAAAGCTTTGAAATTCTCACCAGAAACTTTCTAAAATATGATAAATTTGCAGTCGCTTGATCTTTCTCACGTTCGTGACGTCATTTTAGAGTTACAGCCTTCGTAATGCTGTTTCTAACGGCTATGAAAAAAAATTGTTGTTGTACGGGGATTCACTCATCAGTGATGAGGTTATACGTGTTCGGAATACCGGTGATATATAATTGATTTTTACCACTCATCGTCACGTACGCTATTGTTTAAGCGTTCATTTATTATGGTAACACATATTGTACGTATGAAAATTAGTAAACCTTATAGTTTTATGAATAAAACTGAGTTTTACTAATGTACGAGACACACAGGCCCCTTAATAACACATGTTAGTGTGCAGTGTCGCCGTATTAGCCAATAGGAGTTGTGCATTCAGCAACAGGTCACCAACCGACCATATTAACAATTCATGTGCAAATTAGTAGTTTTCGTAAAGAAGTAATGTTGATTATAAAATCGTATTTTTTTCGGCCTCGTGAGGTTCAGTTCACACAATTTTACCCACAACCGCGAGATTTGGAATTTTAAATCAACTTCGAACTCGTACAATTGTACACAGACCTATAGATTACATATGACATAACCATAGAAACCAAATCTTCCACATTTTCATTTCCGGTTATTATATATATATTCAACCTCGCTATAATACCCACATTTTCATTTCAGGTTATTATATATATATTCAACCTAGCTATAATACATATGGCTATACAGCACAGCTTATTAGTCCAATATTCCAACCTTCCTATAGAACCTGTACGGTGAGTATTTGTATACTTATAAGCGAGTTAGAGTGACTGCCATTTAATACACATCAGAATTTGATGAGACACTTAAATTTTTGATAATTACTACAACCCCGACCTCGAGAATAACACATTTACCTCCCGTCATCTAGGAAATTGAATAAATACTTTGTGGACTTTTTTTCATCATTCTGTTTGAGTTTTTTCCTCAATAACACTGTACAATATTAGTAGAATAATATTTTGGAACCATGCATTTATACAATTGGATAATATTCGCATGTTCGGGAAGATAAGGTTATGAATTCGATACGAAAAATAACAATGACACCTTTCTGAACCTACGTATTAATAGACCATTTTCCGTTCACCGAGAGATCCCGCGTTATGAATGAACGTGAACAAAACATATTGCCATAGTGACGTCCAAAAAAGCATTCCCGATTATTAATGTGCTATACATGTACACATTTAATAATGATCAATTTTGATGAAGTGAAGGTATCTTAACGCAGTATTTCCCTCCCAAGATCGGCATTTCGACATAGAGCTATGAAAAGAATTCAAAAT